ATCCATTTAACTCTATATCACCACCTCTATTCAAACCTTTAACAAAACCAGTGCAACTTCCAGAAAATGAAATTTTAAAATCTATTTCAAGTAGACTAGATCGACTAGATAAAAATAAAGGAATTAATAACATTGATGAAAATAGTCAAACTGATACTGAAGAAGAAGTAGAAATTAATCGTATAAAAAGAAAATTTCAACCATCCACAAAACCATATTACCCTAGACACTCTCCACCTGACATTTTATTTGAAGAACATCATAAATTCCATACTGCAAATTTTTATACTGGAGAAGGTATATATGAATGGAATATAGACGGCAGATCAGAATATGAAATGATGAATTTATTTCAAGAAATGGGAATTGCTGGTTTGGCATATAAAGCCAAAGGTTTATCAGACAAACAAGCATGTGTCCTTTTAGTTTCAGGATTTAATGGGGCATTAAAATATTGGTGGGATAATGCTTTAGATACTATAGCTCAAGATAATATAATAAATCATACGGAAACTAGAAGAGTAGAAGGTGAAGATGGATTATATGAAGAAGAACAAATTCAAAATGCTATCGAAGTACTACTACATGCTATGACTATGCACTTTGTAGGAAATCCCTCAAAAGAATTAACTAGTAAAAATTGGCCCTAACAAACCTTAGATGTCCAACTTTAAGAGACTTTAAGTAGTATAAAGATATTTTTATAACTAATATATTTCAAAGAAATCATTGTAATCAACCTTTCTAGAAAGAAAGGTTTATAGCAGGATTACCTTCTTTCTTTGCAGAAAGATTAATAAGTAAATTAAAAAAATTTTCAAGAGGACAACCAATACCATGGGATTCAATAATTATGATCAATTGTTTGCCTTCGTTAAAAAAGAAGGATTACAAATTTGTCAAGAACATAAAGATAAACAACAAACCAATAAATTTAAATTTGGAGAAACTATGGGTTCATTCTGTGAACAATATGGTTACCACCGTCTTACCCCACCATCTAGAGAAAGACGCAAAATTTACAAACAAAGTAGATTTTCACATCCACGTCCATATCGTAAAAACAAAAAGTTTTCCAAAACAATTTCTAACCCTTATTATACAAAAAACAGAATACCAAAAAATCCAACTAAGAAGGAAAAGATTATATGCTGAAACTGTAAAAGACCAGGACATAAATCAACCGAATGCAAAATAAAAAAGTAAATTAATGAAATTTTCCACGATAACCAAGACATTAGAGGAAAATTATAAAAACTACTTCTTTCAGAAACAGAAGATATAGAAAAATTTAGTAGTGAACCATCCTTAGATATTATAGAAGATCAAAGCGAATCATCATCTGATAATTGCTCAGATAATATTTGCAACTGCAAAACTATAAATGTAATCACTAAAGATATCGATAAACAATTTTTACTAGATATAATTGATAAAATAGATGACCCTGAAATTAAAAAAGAATATTTATTAAAATTAAAGGATATAGTACATAAAGAAAATAAACTATATAGTCCAGAACCATTTAGCCTTAATAAAATACTTGAAAAATACCCTTCTCCAACATTATTTAAACAAGTAACTACTGGAGAAATACAAGGAGAAGTTAAAAATTTAAAAACTCAAGTAAAAGAACTACAACATATAGTTCATCAACAACAATTAGAACAATTGCAGATGAATGCTCGTTTAACCTTGATTGAACCAAAAATTCACCAATCGATATCCACCATACCCGATCACGTATCTACTAGTAACAGTCAAAACAAAGAACAAATTAAAGCTGAAGAAGAATATATTCAAATAATAAACAAAATAAACTATCAAAAATGGTATACAAAAATTACATTGCACATAGGATACGATTATAAACTAGATATAATTGCACTACTCGATACATGAGCAGATTATAACTGCATTAAAGAAGGAATAGTCCCAACTATGTACTATGAAAAAACATGTGAAAAACTTAGTAGTGCAAACGGAAGTAGTTTGAACGTTAATTATAAACTCCCAAAAGCAAAAATCTGTAATAAAAACTATTGTTTTAAAACACAATTTATCCTTGTTAAAAATTTAAGTCAAGAATTTATATTAGGAACACCCTTTTTTACACAAATCTATCCTTTTAAAGTTACACAATCGGGAATAACCACCAAAATTGTAGTTGAAAAGATAGTATTTAAAATTTTATCTCCCATGAAAACTAAAGAAATCTTAGCTTTACAAAACTCTACAATAGAAAAATCTATAAACCTAATAAATGGAAAACAAAAACATATTCAATACTTACAACAAGAAATAAAATATAAAAATATTGAACAACAATTACATGACCTATTAATAATAAATAGAGTTAAAAAATTAAAAAATTAAATACTAGATCAAGTATGTTTTGACCTCCCAAATGCATTTTGGCAAAGAGAAAAACATATTGTTGAAATTCCCTATGAAAAAGATTTCAATGAAAAAAATATATCAACTAAAGCTAGACCAATTCAAATGAATCAAGAACTTTTAGAATATTGTAAAAAGGAAATACAGGAACTATTAGACAAAAAATTAATACGAAAATCTAAGTCACCATGAAGTTGTTCTGCTTTCTATGTCAACGATCAAGCAGAAAAAGAAAGAGGAGTACATCGCCTAGTAATTAAATATAAACCTTTAAACAATGTTTTCCAATGGATAAGATATCCTATACCAGATAAAAGAGATTTATTAAAAAGATTATATGATGCTTGTATCTTTTCAAAATTTGATATGAAAAGTGGATTTTGGCAAATACAAATAGCCGAAAAAGATAAATATAAAACTGCATTTACTGTACCTTTTAGGCACTATGAATGGAATGTTATGCCATTCGGTTTAAAAAATACACCCTCGGAATTTCAAAATACTATGAATGAAATATTTAACCCTTACTCTACTTTTTCAATAGTATACATAGATGATGTTTTAATATTTTCAAAATCTATTGATCAACATTTTAAACATTTATATACTTTTTTAAGTATTGTTAAAAAACATGGACTAGTAGTATCAATAAAAAAGATGCAAATATCTCAAACAAAGATAAGATTTTTAGGACATAATATATATCAAGGAACTATGACACCTATATCCAGGTCTATAGAATTTACAAATAAATTTTCTGATGAAATAAAAGAAAAAACTCAACTACAACGATTTCTAGGATGTTTAAACTACATATCAGATTTTTTACCTAATATACGAAAACTTATTCAACCATTGCTTCAGAGATTGCAGAAGAATCCAGTCTCATGGTCTAGTTTGCATACTAGTATAGTCCAAGATATTAAAAAGAAAGTTGTATCCTTACCATGCTTAGTCATTTCACAACCAAGTGCATTTATGATAGTAGAAACCGATGCATCAGAAATAGGTTATGGGGGAATCCTTAAACAAAAAATGCCAGAGTCAACCCATGAGTCAATAGTTCGGTTTCATTCTGGAGTATAGCTTGGCCCCCAAAAGAATTATTCTACATTTAAAAAAGAAGTTTTATCTATAGTAAACTGTATTTCTAAATTTCAAGATGATTTAATAAACAAAAAGTTTTTATTACGTGTTGATTGCAAATCTGCAAAAGAGATTTTACAAAAAGATGTTAAAAATCTAGTTTCTAAACAAATTTTTGCAAGATGGCAAGCTATTTTATCTGTCTTTGATTTTGATATACAATATATAAAAGGTAAAAATAATTATTTACCCGATTTTCTAACAAGAGAGTATTTACAGGGAAAATCTCAAGACCTCCAAAATGAGTGAACAAAAAAGGCCCATGTCTGCAGCAGACTACATCAAGAATCAACCACATCTACAAGGGAAACAAATCACCACCAGTAATCAATTCTCTGCATTGGCAGAATTTCCACCTCTGTCTTATGCAAAAGCCGTCAACCCATTACCTCAAAAAACAGCCACCCCTTCCTCTCCACAAAAAACTACTGACCAAAAATCCTCATATGTCCTTAAACAACACCGCCAACACCTCACTACTACATCATTCACCAAACCAATATCACTAAAAGACCTTACCCACTTTACCAACCGTATATTTTATGAGGATAGCCAATACCTCACCGACAACCTTACAAAAAGCCGAACCTTTTATGAATTTATCCTCGTCAATACCAAGTCAGTTGAAATAACCCACCATACAGATAAAGCCAACCCTGACCTTATATCCTATTCCACATGTAAAATCCTCAGGATATGCAATCCTCAAGACCTTGGACTCTTTAACTTCCATACTAGAAAAGACTTTTCTATTCACGGGTACCATATTTCAGGGTTTACTTACGTAGATTACCAAAAAGCTTTTCTTCATATCCTTTACCTACGTACCTATGACCATTCCTGGTTTATCTCTTTTGACTTTCACTGTCCCAAATCAATACCCGGATGGTTCTATGAATGATGGCACTGGTTTGGCCCATGTGACCAAATTTATCCTCCACAACTACTCAAAGTATCTATACCCTACTACACTAAACACGAAAAACATGAACCCATTGGACCTTTACCCAAAATATCTTTCCACATTGACATGGGAATACCTTGGATCATGGCACTTTAACCTCATACCTTTTCTACCTGACATGCCGTACTCTTTGGTCCGGGAATACCGAGTCAAATGGTGGGACAAATACAACTTGGATCGGTGTTCTGTCACCAACCTGGAAAAATGGATACAAACCATCGAACAAAACAAGCAATCCGTGACAACAATATCCTGAGCACTACCACCTATCAACACCAACGCTCAAAAAATAAAACCAACCAGCCCAACAGAGTCAACAACATCATCCTCTGGATCCAAGAAAACCAAGGGAAAAGATAAACTCAAAAAAATCCTCGAAGCCATCGCAATGCAAATATCTTCTTCCGAAGCAAATCTAACGAAACATCATCCAGTGAAGTCACAAATAAAAACAACTCGATTTAGATCTTTGAAAAAATTATTGTCTCCCTCCTTAATTAGCAACTATGGTGTATGACTCGATCAGCTGCCTAGTTTAGAAAAGAAAACAATGGTGAAGTAATATATATATTTTATCATAGGATATAGCTACTCTTGACATGAAAAAAGGAAGAAAAGCATTGCTATTATAATAACACAAGATAAGTCTTTGATTTTCAGAAATGAGCATTTACAAAAACATGAATATTCTTCAACTACCGTACACACTTGGTTTAGCTGTGTTCTATCTCTTAACCATTCAGTAAACAAAATAGAAAATGGCACGCCGGTTGGCCGGATAATTCTCAAACTTCCGGAGATACGGTGAGTTTCTCCAGCCGCCAATGTCAGATTCCCAACCTAGAAAGAAAAAGACAGAAACTCTGAATCAAAACAAGAACAAGGCGCTTTCATTGGTGATCTTGAAAATAAGAAAATGAAGCGTACCACAAAACCAAAGAGTAACCAGATAGTTATATCCATTCCTCCACTTGCAATCACCAAGCCCATGTATAAAACCTAAATTACAAGCATCATACCATTAGCAAAGAGAAGGAACAAAGAACATGAAGAGAGATATCTTATATTTTAAAGAGGTAACATTACGATTTCTGCCAAGTAATGTGGACTAGAGACGATCTCAAACCAATCTCCATGCGGTATAATGTACTCATTCACTTGGCTCAGACCTTTCCGTAGCGATCCCAGAATTAAACAAATTTTGTATCTCCTCAGGATCTAAACCACACAACAACAAACAATGAAGAAGAAAAATGTTAAAAAAATCTTACGAGAATAGCGTGACAACGGCGTGTTGTAACCATCCCCAGAGAAATATAACTCCACCAATCAACTGGCACGAACCAAGCTTCATCAAAGGGCTTATAGACAACAACAAATCAAACTCAGGAGCTGAGGTATGGCCTTTTCCATCAGTAACAATGCAAGCAAGAGGAAACATTAAAGGGTCGAGAGATTTACAAAACCACAAACTTTCAATTACTAAAACTTTATTTCAAGCCATTTGTAGAACCAAGGATACTTGAAAGTAAAGATGCAGTTCGAATAGAGAAGAAGCTTGTTACCAAAATACTATTTATTAGAAATCGCTTAAACAATTCTTACGAACTTGTTTAATCAGAATAATACACCCTTACAATGATCTTTATCGATCTGTAATGTGACACCGACCAATTCCTAGTCTACCCACACAGTAACAGCTGTGTTTGCTTCAAGAGCACCTAAACTCTCTTCCAAGACAGAATGTTCTAATCCCCTTTAGTACTAACCCTAACATCAAGACAAAGATCTTATATTTATACTCAACCTCGCAGCGGCAAACTTGCCGTGTCTTGAGTATCTACCATATTCGCAAATCATCGAATATGGTAACTTCTACATCTTCCTTGATTTCCACGTATCCAGTTGTCACAGTTCTTCTGACTTTGCATTATATGTGTGTAATACACTTTCCAGCTGTTCCACTATTCTTGAACTTATAATCTCCCTCTTTTTGCCTGAATGTGACACCTCAAGCTACCTGTCATGTTAGTTTCAAACAGCACACACACACGCAGAAATCACAGCATATCCAAGCAAGGAACATTCATAGATAGAGTAGTAACGCAAGTTCACATCACTTAGCAAACTAAGATTTCTCAGGAATGAGATAACCAAAAACAAACGAAAAAAACAGAGAGCCAAAAACTAAGCCGAGGAAATGGTTCTTGAAAACATTGCAAAAGCAACATATGTGATCACTTGGATACACACCCAAATAAAATATTGCCTATCATCTTAGTCATCCACTTCATACTCGTGTATTCCACCAAGACCGTCATCAGGCTCCTCTCCTCCTTCACTCTCGTCCTCTAAATCTTCTGGTGAGTTGTCATTCCTGAGTGATGCCAGTTTGGGATCATATCGATAATTTCCCCTTGCTTGAGTGAACATTCATGCCAAAAATAAACAATGGTTAAGTCTGATAGAGGAGAAGTGTCAGCGAGAGAGAGAGAACACTTACCTTTGAGGCGCTGTTGTATCTTGCGGGCTGACTTGGACAGCTCCAAGAGATCAGTGGATAGAGAGGGAACCCATTCCGGTTCTTTTCTGCCAGATCCACGTCCTGCCTTGGGATCCATGGTGATTTTGGTAGGACCAATCAGTGGACCGTCACTTCGGTGCGCTGGTACGATTCTCTAGAAGTTAAGAAGCTGGTGAATGAGATTCGGAAAAGGAAGAACACGATCAACCGGAGCAGGATGCTTGGCTATGGCAAGGATTTGATTGTAGACCAGTTGTCCAAAATTAAACTCATTTGCCATCAGAAGTGCGTAGACAAAACGAGGCCTATCTTTTACCAATGCAGTCTTGTTTGTAGTTGGCATCCAGTTCCGACAGCATTTACGACAGAGTACTCCACACCTCTGAGAGAGATGACAAGAACGAAGGCCCTCCCAACCAAAGTGATAGGTTTCCGTGAGTGATCCAATGACATTGTTAAGATCAGCTGACATCCAATCTCCTTCAGGACCATCTTCTGGGAGCAAAAACATCCGATTTATGATAGCAGGAGAGAACTCGAACATAAGGCCCCTGACGTAGACATACTTCGAACCCCACCGTGTTTCCAGATCACCAAGATTAGCATAGAATTCCATGAAAATTTTAGGACAGTAAGGCTCCACATCGAGAACAGTGTACATCATCCCAGTGCGGACCAGGATTTGTTTCACCAGAACCAGCTTCGAATCATCCAAGGGAAAGTAAACAGCGCCATGAAAAGAACGAAGATCGAACGACTGGTACCTGACTGCTGCAGCCTCAAACGAGAAATGACCACACGGAATTTATCGAGGACGATCCGAGAACTTACTCGACCTTCGCCAGCTGAGGAAATCTTTGCGATTTGCAGAATTGCGAGGTTCAAGGTCGAGAAATTCACCAACCCGAGGATTACGAGAGTCGACTTGCTCGTCGTCTTCTAAAGTATTAGCAGTAGCCCTTGGCAGAGGTTTCTAGTGAAGTTCCAGTTGATCATCTTCAAGGTCATGGACAATCATCGGGCCTTTCTAGATCGCCGATTTGGATTACGCAGTCGAAGAAGTTCCTCAGCAAGAGTGTCATTATCATCAAGAAGAGTCCGGCTGATACGCGCAGATTCTGCGAGGGCCTGCCGAGCCTTAGATCTTATGTTGCAAACTGGGAGCATGGCGAGAGATTGCGAAGGCGGTCTTAGGGTTTTGCTGAAACAGAGAGGAACACTTCTGTGGCACAAGAATGGACAGGTTTCATATATAATCGGCAGCAACCCTAGAATCATAGCTTACTCACACAAATAATCCAATTAGCAACCAAGAAAACATAGCAAGGCCCATTAATCGAGTAATTTGCACAAGTTCAAGCCCAAAGATACAAATAAATTGTGTCAAACACTTGAAAGTCATGTAATATAGCACACAGTGAAGGGCACATATTAAGGACCCCATGTAGTAGGAAACACGACGCTTGTTAGAAAGACACAACCAAATATATAATCTGAACATAGACACACTTGACCCTGTAAAAGCAAACAGAGGGAGAAATGACATAGGGCAATAGTAGCTAGTGAGAAACCTCAAGAAAAAAAAAACATTTGACACACTAGTAGGCTGAAATATGCAGACATCCCAGCTGAGATACTTTCACACATTCAGTCACTTAGCCTAGTGTAATAAGACTCGTTATGACAGGAAAACTTATTAGGCTACATACTCTAGATTCTGAGAGGCTTAGTATATATTTATATATATACTTTTTTTTTTTTTTGCGAATTGAACTACACACTCCTAGTAGATTGTGTATGCAGCATCACCCATCTGAGTTCCTTTCACATACCAAAGAAGAATAGGTAACCGGATCTTTTATCAGAAGTGTGCAGTACCAACTCATCCATCTTATTGTGATCATGACAACAACTGATGTTAGTAAAGATTGTGACAGCAATCAATCCCAAATGGGTGTCAATCATTTCACTTAATTAATTAATTTTGTAGCCTTTCTCAGTTCTAGACTATCTCATCCAAACAGTGATCAAGAGATGAAATCAGATGATGAGAGCATCCTAGTACCAATCTTGAGTGTTCTTCTCTTGAGACATAACCAAATGAGTTTTCACTAACACCCCGAGCACTTATCAACACTAAGACATCTGACTTGCCTACTAGAGTTTTTGAAAACTTAACACAACATCAACACAAGCTACTATCTTCATCTCCCCCTGCGACCAAGCTAATTATAGTTCAAAGACACCTAATGCCTTTCTAAGAAAGACAAAGGTATTCGGATCAAGTGGTTTAGTAAAGATATCTGCCAGTTGGTTTTCAGAAGCAACATGTTTAATGACAACAAGTTTTTCTTCAACTAATTCCCTTAAAAAGTGATGCCTTATGTCAACATGTTTAGTACGTGAGTGTTGAACTGGGTTTTTTGAGATATCTATTGTACTTTTATTATCACAATGCGCCAACATAGAATCATAGTACATATCATAATCCATGAGCATTTGTTTCATCCAAAGAAGTTGAGTACAGCAACTTCCAAGCGCAATGTACTCTGCTTCAGCTGTGGATAGTGAAACACAGTTCTGCTTTTTGCTGTGCCAAGAGATCATGTTGTTTTCGAAGAAGAAACACCCTCCTGAAGTGCTTTTCCGATCATCCAAACAACCAGCCCAATCTGCATCACAAAAACCAGCAAGATTTTCATTAGTTACTTTAGAGTAGTATATTTCAAGATCCAATGTGCCTTTCGCATATTTTATGATGTGCTTTACTGCATGTAGGTGAGGAGCTCGAGGAGATGCCTGATATCTTGCACACAAACCAACACTGAGACACAAGTCTGGTCGGCTAGCTGTGCGGTAGAGTAAACTCTCTATCATGGCTCGATAAAGTTTCTCATCCATTTTTTCTCCATCCATGTTTTTATGCAGTTTGTTAGTTGTACTCATTGGCGTGGTGGCAGTTTTGCTCGTTTGCATATCAAATTGTTTCACCAGATTTCTTGCATAAGTCGACTGAGATAGAAAGATTCCTTCTGGTGTCTGTTTCACTTGCAGACCTAGGAAATACAAAACCCTTGACAAGTTTCTCACTCGTGCTACCAAAAATGATATCATCAACATAGACTTGAACAATCAGGATGTCATTGTCTACATGTTGGATAAACAAGGTCTTGTCTACACTCCCCCGAGAGAATTTAGCACCTAAGAGAAACTGTGTCAACCTTTCATACCAAGCTCTGGGAGTTTGCTTGAGACCATACAGAGCTCGTTTCAGTTTGTAAACATGATCTAGAAACTTAAAGTCTTCAAAACTTTTGGGTTGAGTGACATAGACTTCCTCTTGAAGCAGCCCATTCAGAAACGCACTCTTCACATCCATTTGATACATTCTGATGTTGAGAAGGCATGTGATCCTAAAGAGTAGCCGAATAGATTCAAGTCTAGTAACCGGAGCAAATGTCTAATCGAAATCTATGCCTTCAATTTAAGAGTAGCCTTGAGTGACTAGTCTTGCTTTGTTTCTGATCACATTTCCTTCATCATCGATCTTGTTCTTGTATATCCACTTAGTACCAACTATATTAACATCTTTTAGAACCAGTACAAGTTCCCAAACATCAAGACGCCAAAATTATTCTAGTTCCTCTTGCATAGTAGACACACAGAACTCATCACTGAGTGATTCCATGATGTTCTTCGGTTCTATGAACGAGATGAAGCAGTTAAGCTTAACCATTTCTGTTACAAAGCAAGCTAGTTTAACAATCTGCTTGAAATCAATCTTCTTCCCTCTGGTCTGTCTCTCGTCAAGCAATCCTCGAATTACATGGTCCTGATTATGATTGTTAGGAACTATCACCTGTTCTGAGTGCAAAGAAGTATGATTCTCATTCTGATCTTCAGCATGTCCCCGATTGCCTGTTTCAGTGTGTATCGTTTCAGTAACAACCTTAGGAGCTGTGCCAGACAGATCTGAAATCCTTTCTTCTTGCTCGTAGCAACTCTTGTCATCAAACACAACACTCACAGACTCATGAATCATTTTGGTTCGATGATTGTATACTCAGAACACCATATTATGAGTTGAATATCCAAGGAATATATTAACATCGCTTCTAGAATCAAATTTTCCAAGCTGATCTTTCTCATTTAGTATATAGCATACACATCCAAAGATGTGGAAGTAACTCAAATTTGGAGTTTTTCCCTTCCAAATCTCATATGGAGTCAAATTTGTGCCAAGCTTGACATATACTCGATTGATGATGTAACACGCCGTATTAATTGCTTCTGTCCAAAACTTTGTTGCCACTTTATTCCCATAAAGCATAGCTCTGGCCATTTGTTGCAAAGTCCTGTTTTTTTCTCTCCACTACACCATTCTGTTGTGGAGTTCTTGAAGCTGAATATTGATGTCTTATTCCCTGACTGTTGCAGAACAAATCAAATTCAGCACTATAGAACTCCCCTCCATGATCACTCCTTATCTGCATGATGTCGCCTTTTTCAGTTTTAAATTGCAGTGCCAAGATTTTAAAGCTCTCAGCTGCTTCTGATTTTTCTCTCAAGAACCTCACTCGTGTGAATCTTGAGAAATCATCAACCAGCACAAAAATATATCTTTTCTCAGCAATACTTTCGGTTTGAATTGGCCCCATCAGATCCATATGAATCAACTCAAGAACCTTTTTGGTTCGAATCTCACCAAGTGCCTTGTGTTGCACTTTAATCTGTTTTCCTTTACTACATGATTCACAAACAGTGTCTGAAGGTGGTTCCAACTTAGGTATCTCTTTTACAATCTCTGCCTTGACGATTTAACTTAGTCCATGTATATTTATGTGCCCAAGCCTTCGATTCCATAGATCAAGTTGAGACTCCTTGACTGACAGACATTGACTCGATTTGCTCCACATATAGCAGTTGTTACCAGACCTGATTTCATACAGACAGCGTTTCTTTTATCATCAATGGCATGACAGTCTACCTTGGTGAACACAACCTTGAGTCCTTCATCGCATAACTGACTAATACTGATCAGGTTCTTCATCAGACCTTCAACAAAATACACATTAACCAGCTGAGGCTTGTTCTTTGTATTGATGTTACCAACACCTTTGATCTTACCTTGACCTCCATCTCCAAAGGTAACTTTTCCACCTCTAACAGTTGTGTATGTATCAAGGACGTTCTGACATCCTGTCATATGTCTCGAGCAGCCACAGTCAAAGTACCATGGAGTTTGATCTTGTGCATCAGTGGTCATATATGCAACATTGCTCACAAGAGTCTGTTCTGTGTCACACACACGAGCGGTAGTGCATTGAGTTATCTGGGTGAAATTGCAGACCAAGCCATCAATCTGATTGGGGATATCTGCTCATTTCTCACACAATGTCTCCTTAGCAATACAGACTTTTCCGAGATGAGATGGTTCAGGGAAGCATTGACTCCTCTTCCATGCCTTGATAAATCTTTTTCTGAGACTGAGTTCCACACAGTCAACCTTCTGGTGTCCCTTTCGGTGACAAAAATAACACTTTGTGTTGCTTCGAATCTTCTTGGCAAGTATGCCAGATTGAGTGACAAACTGATATGCATGAGACACTCTTGTTTCTTTTGGCAGAGCTACTTCATTGACTTTCTGTTGTGAGGAAGACCCATTTACAAAATTCAGTTGATTTTGCTGAGATGCTCGAGGTTGAGCAGATTTCCGATTGAAACCAAGACCCCAGTTCGCTCTCGGTGGTTGGCCCACATATAATATTTTATCCAGATCTTTTGTGCTTGTATTCAACATCCTGATCTTCTTGTGATTATCGTTCAGCTCTTGCAACAATCCTCATGCCTTTTCTTCCTCTTATGCGCAAGCAGACATAATGCGTTTGATATTAACTTCCAACACTCTGTTTCTTTCTTTTCTCTTTCCAGTTCTTTTTTGAGATTCTCAGCCTCTGTGTTATCTGTTGTAGTCTCCTTCTCTTTGTCATTTGGAACTTCAACTCTTTCACATTCAAGAATGTTGAGTTGCGCTTTCATCATAGCTACTTCCTTGATGAGTTGCAGATTCTCATTACTCAAAACTACATTCTTGTTGTATAGATCACTATATTCTTGAGTAATGTCAAAACCTTCATCATTATCATCAGACTCACTATCACCTGACTTCTCGGTTTTTAAGATACTGTCATTTTCTAGGGATGTGAAGGCAACAAAGTTAAGCATGAGTTCTTGGATTGGATTGTCACTATCTTCATCCGATTCACTGTCACTGAATACCACCAGAGATTTATCCTTGTTCCTTGATCCACTCGGACACTCTGTCTTTGTATGGCCAAATCCTCTGCATTCTAGACATTTAAGTTCTTTCCTCTTGACCAGGGGACACTCGTTCCGAAATTGACCGAAGCCTTCACATTCGTGACACTGAAGATCCTTCTTCATGTTTGTCCTGTCACCATCATATTTGTATCTTTTTCAGAATCATTCCTTCGATCTCTTCTAAAAACCATGTTTTGTCCTTTCTCAACTCGTTTGAGCATCTTATTAAAGTTTCGGGCCATGAGACTAAGATTTTCTACAATCTGTTTGACTCTGACGTCATCCTTTTCTGCAGTGAAAGCTATTCCCTTCTGGCGTTCAGGTTTCTCAGCAGCTGCTTCCATTTCCTCAGCATTGAGCATTCCGCATAGCTTATCAAACTTCATGTCATATGTATTCATAGAGTACTTTAGTACAGTTTTATGAGCAGCATACTTCGGAGGTAGACACCTAAGTAGTTTCTTAACCAGCTTTTTCTCTTTGTATTTCTTTCCAAATACAGACGCTTCATTAGCAATTGTGCTGATCTTGGCAGTAAAGCTAGCAATCGACTTATCTTTGACCATCCTCAGGTTTTCAAATTGAGAGGCAAGGTGTTCTATCCGAGTTCTTCTAACACTTGTATCTCCTTCAAAGTGATTGATCAGCGTATTCTAGGCCTCTTTTGCTGACTCACAAGCTTGTATGATCTTGAACTGATCTATGTCAACAGCACCAAATATAGCTGTCATGGCCTTAGAGTTGCACTTTGAAGCGTTTTTATCAGCTTCAGTCTATCTCTCCCTCGGTTTAGGTTTCACAACTGTTTTGGGAGGAATAGTCTTATCTTCTGGTTTTTCTTCTACTAGGATCGTTGGCGGTTCCCACCCATCGATGACAGCCGTCCAGGCATCCTCATATATCCCATGTATGAGATAACGCATCCGAGCTTTCCAGTGACCAAAATTTCCAGCGTCACGTATCACAAGTTTCTGAACCGCGATGAGCTCCCTCATAGTATCCATGGTTACCCCAAGATCTCAACCTGTAAAATAGATCTGCTGATCTATAAGGCGACCCGCTCCGATACCAAATATAGAACCAAGGATACTTGAAAGTAAAGATGCAGTTCGAATAGAGAAGAAACTTGTTACCAAAATACTCTTTATTAGAAATCGCTTAATCAATTCTTATGAACTTGTTTAATCAGAATAATACACCCTTACAATGATCTCAACATATCTGTAATGTGACACTAACCAATTCCTAGTCTACCACACAGCAACAGCTGTGTTTGCTTCAAGAGCACCTAAACTCTCTTCCAAGACAGAGTGTTCTAATCCCCTTTAGTGCTAACCCTAACACCAAGACAAAGATCTTCTATTTATACTCAACCTCGCAGCGCAAAACTTACCGTGTCTTGAGTATCTACCATATTCGCAAATCATCGAATATGGTAACTTCTACATCTTCCTTGATTCCCACGTATCCAATTATCACAGTTCTTCTGATTTTGCATTATATGTGTGTAACACACTTTCCAGCTGTTCTACTATTCTTGAAACTTACACCAGTCTCATATTTACTAACCAAACAGAAACCGTTCTAAAACTAAAACCTAAGATTCAAACTAAAAGTAGCATGCTTTTTCACTGGGAGACTAACATTTACAATCATGTTTACAACAAAGGGATGATTAAATCGGATCTAAGGGTCCAAAAATTTACAAACTTCAGATCCTTTATCACAATCAGCTACCCAAAAAGAACAATTCTGAAACTGAAAGCTTCAAACTTAAAGCGGGCATGCTTCTTCTCGCTTGGAGCCTTAACTTTTCAATCGGAGTTACAGTAAGAGCATCTCTATTGGTTACATACTCCTTTTGAGTATCTCATCAATTAAATATCATTAACTGATTTTCAATAAATTAAATAATTATTTTTTAATGCTAAAGTTAAATTTAAATCACTAACATTATGACACATGGCCAGAAACGGATCTCAATAGTTCTCATATGAGAGCCGATTCTCCTTCTCTCTCATACATTTTTATTTTTTTAGTCTGTTTTATTGTTGAGATACTGGTGTGAGAACCTTCCAATAGAGGTGACTTCATTTTGTATCCTTTGAACCTCTCTCATGCATCACAAAAACGCTCATTATATTGTTGTATGAAGCTGGAAATTTTTTTCCTCAACTTAGATGTTCCTGAGTTGTTGAAGAACTTGGTAAGGAAAACTCTCTTGCACACATCCCATGAGGTCAGCCACGTGGAAGATTCTTCTCCCAAAAGTGAGCTTTCTCCAAGTGAGAAAGAGAAAAGCCTAAGCTTAAAAGCATCATCTAAGAGTCTTTGGAACTTGGTCAAGCTGCAAACTCTATCAAACTGATCTATGTGCTCCAAAGGATCTTCTATAGACAACCCTGAATTTATTACCTTGAATCATGGTGATAAGGCTACTCTTGATTTTGGAGTTTGTATTGCCAAGAAAAGGAGGGACAATACCATATCTGTTAACATAACTGTTAGGTGTATCATGAGCCCCAATATTCCTCACAACTCTTTGACCATGCTCCTGAAACTGTGCAGCAAATGGAACAGCTCCTTGGTTCCACTGAAACTGAGCTTCTGCTCTCCATGTAGTCCATGACCATCCTGACCTTAAGGGTCATCCATACTCAGCTCTGAAGTTGCTGAGACTCTTCTCAAACTGCTTGTACTGCTCTTGCAAAGGCGTTGTGATATAAAGTATATGGTACCTGAAAAAGAGAGCAGTGTAACTATAGAAGATTAGTACTGAAATAAATGGCTAAGTCTAGACAATTCTTCAAACTTTAATATACTAAACATCCCACTAAGAGAACAGTGCCAAATTGATACAAGACTTTTTATGTCTTGAGACTAAATTCCTCAAGTCTGAAATCATGTCATTGCAGCACAAGAGGTTATCAATCCTTCATGGGCATAGTATAGAGAAGATGCAGAAGAATGCTTAGCTAAGTCTAAAATGAGGGTTTTAATAGGCTAACATTCATTAACTAAGAATATGAAATTGATTGATCAAAAAAGTAAACTAAAGATTGATTAATCAAAAAAGTAAACTAAAGACAAACCTAAGCAAGAGACTTAAACTAGCAAATGCAAGAACAGAGCAAGCAAAACAGAACAATCAAAGACTTTAAACAATTATATATGAAATGGCTTCAAGATGGGGGATAAACACTAAGGTGACTTCAATGGTAATCAATGATGCTTCAAACAACAATAACCAGCTAATCTTTATACAAAGAACATCAAAACAAGACAAATCCAATCTCTTGGCAATAATCCCTTGACTTATCATAAATCCTAACCTACTTTCAATGCTTCATTCTTCTCCTTCTTGTCCTTAGAGGTGTTTGACGTGATCTTGTTTGAGCCGGCTGTTATGCTCATGCTAGCATCATGCGAGGAGGTTAAAGGAAATGATACTTAAGCTGGCAAAACATATTTGAATGTGCCGGAGAGTTTTTCTGGAGGAAGCTTTGGGATTGGGATGAACTTATCAGCCATTCTTCTTTCTTTGTGCTTCTTCTATTGTGTGTGCTACAATAAAAATATGTGCGTTAGTTTATAAAATCTGTGGTGAGTGTTATTAAAAACGAATTCAGCTTTGAGAAATGAGGAGAATGCACATAAACCATTGCAGCTTGCTCAGAATGTCAGTGATTTTCTCTTTTCAACATGTTGTTTGCCCTAAATAGAATTATAGTTTGTTTTGGATTAAAGTGATTGCTGATGGCTCTTGTGTTAGAAAAAATGGATGGGTCAGTTAATGCATGATGCATTAACTGAGGGAAGGCGAGACAAAACCGGAGATGTAGTTTCATCACTTCTCTTCTTCTCTTTTTTTTCTCTGTCATCGATGTCGTTGCCTTCTTCTTCATATTGCTTGCTTCATTCTTCTCCTTCTTGTCCTTAGAGGTGTTAGACGTGATCTTGTTTGAGCCGGCTGTTATGCTCATGCTAGCATCATGTGAGGAGGCTGAAGAAAATGATACTGGAGAGTTTTGCCACAGGAAGCTTTGGGATTGGGATGAACTTATCAGCCATTTTTCTTCTTTTTTTTATTTCTTCTATTGTGTGTTACAATGAAATTGTATTTGTTAATTTATAGAAGTCGTGGTGAGTGTTATTGAAAACAAATTCAGCTTTGAGAAAGGAGGGGGATGCACGTAAACTATTGTATCTTGTCTAGAATGTCAATGATTTTCTCTTTTCAACCTGTTGTTAGCCATAAACAAAATTATTGTTTGTTTTGGATTAAAGTGATTGTTGGTGACTCTTGTGTTGAAAAA